TATATGAATATATATTTTATGAAACAGCTGGGTAGTGAAAATGATACGCACTTCACGAAGTGCTTATGTCCTGAAGTGCCCGTCAGATTACTTTTTGAAGTTACAAATTAAACGGCGTACACACACTGACACAAGACACCCGAACACTGGCACCAAAGTTTGGCTGTTTGTCTTGTTCCAGAAGCATCCATAAACTCACTGCTTCCTCACAGCCCGCGTCGATCAGGGAGTTGTTACATTGTTCAGTTCATCTGAGTTCGGGGCACTCTCACTCTCCAGACTCTGGTTTGTGAGGTCGACGTACCCACTTCCGCCTACGAACTGTACTGAACGGCCAACAATGTTAGGGCGTGACACCAAGGTGAAAGCACAACGAACAGACCGCAGCCTCCTGCCTCGATCAGCTAGCCGCCGTTTATCGCCATTTTGGTGATTACAAAGTCATTTCAGGTTGGCTCTGGCAGAGAACATTCATCCATCGACACCAGTGTAGTAGAAATAGCTGGCTTAGAAACCAGCAAAAGCGCTAGCATAGTTGAAACACTTTGCCATTGAGTCTTTATTTTGTTGAGAACAAGCTTATCCCCATTACCAACTATGAAATCGAAGTGAAGAACGGAAATGTATCTGCCTGCAAACCTGATCTCAGCGCACCACTCAATGTTGTCTGGCTGCTCAGACCTTTTTGTTTGGATCTGTTCAATAATGTGAACACAATTACTCATTTGCATGCCATACAACCGAAGTTTTTGTAGCGTTTTCGTTCGCGCTTCTAAATTTACAGAAGGTTCCAATATTTTTCTAATAGCTTAGACTGTTGATGATCTGGAATCATACAACCTAGTCAAACGAACTAATCTGCTTTTTTGAGATTACCCTGTACTGAATCAATATCTCCGTGCCATCTTTTAAGAAGTGGGTAGCAAAATGCACGGTTTTGATTACTTTTGAAGCTTTGTGGCGATTCCGGGAACCAGTCGGTTACCAAGGTTAATATCAGCTTTTTTTCAAGACCTTACATGTGAGACCTTCGAAAACAGTCTATTTCAGCGCTTTGCGTTTGACTATTTGACATTGTGCAACAATTACCCAGCTAAGTAAATTGGCCTCCATATGGATATTTTTTGTGTTTTAGTGTTCGGGAGTAGTCTATTCACGTCGAGAATGTCTCATTTCGAATGTGCATTGAATGATCTGGATATCTGGTCAATAAGCTCTCAGACCGGGCATTCCTATGAGTGGCATTTCCTCCTACTTTAGAACTAATTTTCCAAGTGTTTCTGCTCTGTCTACATTAGGTGGCTTGATTGAATGTCTGAAACGATTAGAAACTTAAAAATCGATGGGTAAGATCAACTAGACAGGCGTTTGGCTAGTGTAGGGCACAAGCACTCCAGCGAAACGGTAGCATACTCTTTGCCTTGAGAGTATGGTTCACTTTGGTTATCCTGTACCATTCTTTCATTCAAATCCAACAGAAAACAGTACATCCAGGAGTCGGTACACTAAAGTTGACTTTCTGCATTGTAAATAGCGTTAGCGTTGTTCTCTAAGAGTTGCAAGGTGTCCGTATCTTGGGATCCCCGTCGTCTGTGTGCAATTCAACATAACTGGTTGTTGTGTATATGTTTGGAAGCTTCTACACAGACGGGTTTCAATTAAAGCATCCCATTACTTTTATCCTGGGCCCTTGCGACTTATCCAGCGCCCTCACTCTCCAGTGTCTGGAACAGTGGAGTAAATAAGGTCGTAACTTTGTACTTTTGGGGGATAAACGACAAAATAGACGTACACTTTCATGGACGGCAGATGATGGTAGGAGTGTTTCAAGGCGATGCGTAAGTAAAAGGGCGGTTTAATCGGAATGTTGATACTGGCTTCTACTCAGAATACTGCATTTGATGAACGGTCTGCTACGTAGAGTGTTGGCGTTTGTTACAAAATTTTGTCATTTTTTCCGTAATATTCAGTTGTATAGTTCTCAGCATTACATAAAAGTGACCGCTGGGATTGTGTTTCAACTGACACCAAGATGTGTGCTTTTTGTAGTAACTTGCAGTTCTTTTGGTTAAAACAACCGGGTTAAACCAGTTGCTTGAAATGAATCCTTCCATTTTGTGGAATAGTTGCCGTTGAAAATTCACGCATCTAGGTAGACCGAACTCGTAGCCAATATATATATATA